ACACGGCATCCTCCTCAGCATCGCTGCGGTCCATCTCGTCTTGAAACAAGAGAAACTCGGAAATCCGAGCATCCTGCGAATGTGCCATAGGGTTGTCACAAGATGGGACCTCACAGTTTTGTTGATCACCTTGGGAAGAAGACATCTTGAAATTTTTCTAGAGAAAAGTTGGAGAGAAACTTGAGAGATGGAAGATATGAGAAGTAATGATCCAATACTTATAGAAAAGAAGAGCATGTCCCTCGTAATAAGACAATTCGCAGCCGTAGAATCTGATTAAAGCAACTCAATTCGCCCGCAAAAACTTTCTCCAGAATTTGCGAGCTGGGGGGCTAACTGTTGGTGTCAAAAACCGTAATCTCGAAATCAACGTCTATGATAACTTCTGTAAAAGATGGAATCATTGCTTTCCGCAAGAATCATTTTATAAAACTCGAAGAATCGTTTTATAAAACTCGAAGAATCGTTTTATAAAACTTGAGAATCGTTTTATAAAACTCGAAGAATCGTTTTATAAAACTCGAAGAATCGTTTTAATCGTTTTATAAAACACGAAGAATTGTTTTATAAAACTCGAGAATCGTTTTATAAAACTCGAAGAATCGTTTTACAAAACCGCGAAAAGCCGAAACCGCCGTAAAACGCAAACTAGCCTCGTCCCGGCTAGGTCGCCGTTGGGCGAACTAGGAGCGTTTCAGACAGTTCGCCGACCGGCGAGCTGGACCGGTCCGGCTCGGTTCGACGTAGCCGGCTCGGTTCGCCGTACGTCGAACCGACCATCCCGAGCCTCGATCTCCCGTATCCCCGATTCAGTGCTTACGTCCTTCGATACGGTCGTGTGCTGAACCACAGTCAAAATGTCTCCCGTTTCGTCTCGATCCGACTTATCATTCGAGTTTTACGATAAAAACCGTAAAACTTTGTTTTCTCGAAAAGAACTCGAGGAAATCGTATAAAACGGCAACAGTTAGACGAGACACCAAATATTGCCTAAACTATACGATTTATTCGAGATTTTTCGTTAAAATCATAAAAAACGCGTTTTTAATAAAAACGTCAAGAAAATCGTAAAAAACGGCAACGATTGACCGAGAAACGAACGCAGCTAAACTTTACGATTAACTCGGGGAATTTACTAAAATGGCATCGGGTCAGGAAACGATCTCGTATAAAGTCATAAAACGGATTTATCGTAAAACGACCTGAAAGGTCTTAAAACGCGATAAAAGTCCGTCTCGCAATCTTAACGAAATCTAACCCGAAGATACGATAACATTTTGATGGTTTACTCGCAGAAGAAAGATAAATGTCAAGTTTGAAGATAAATGGCAAGTTTGAAGATAAATAGAATATTTTCGCGGGAAAAAAGGAAGGATCGAGATAAACGGAAGATTCCCGATAAACTCGGATCCGTGTAAAATGGAAAGACTGAACCGCCTGGGAGAGGAGTATATAAGTCAGAGGCATATGGCAAGAGCAGGGGGACGAAAATCAGACCTAAAAAGGCGGCTGTTAGCTTAAGAATTTAGGACTTAGCGTTTAGACTAGCAATCCAGATGCTTAGAACGTTCCGACGTCTAAGTTCTTCAATTCTCTTTTTTAACAGTTGTCAATCTTTTACTTAATAAAAGCTTTCATACAAATTCTTTATTTTCTGTTCTTCGTTGTTCATCCATATTCTGTTAATTTCGTTTGTTTTAGTGATTTCCGCAGAGATCCAAGACCTCGGGAAAATTAGGGTTTCTCTCTAAGTTTCCATATTTGACGGAAAATCGACAGTGTGGATTTCGGTTCCCACACCTAATGGATGAATTACACTGTTTTTGGCAATGATGTTGAGATTTCTGAGGAAGATGACCACCCTTCCTGTTTCATTATTCCAGATGTGGAAATCATAACATGGCAGATAAAAACGACCTCTTAAATAGAAAATACACATCACTTATTTGAGAAAGTGCAGTTGGGAGGGAAAAAAATGCAGACACAAACAAGAAAACAGAAACTTCTCAAATCCTGAAGATTCAAATTCAAGAACATTGCAGCACCACGATACAACAACGAGAGGAATGATATGGTTCATGTTACTCTAACAGCTTCAAAGTCTCTCACGCTCAAGTACAGAACAATGGCAAGGAGAAATCGGTTGCTATCTTTGACTAATTGGTGTGAATGTCGACAACACTCTTCTGTTGTGTGGCACCAGTGGAGAGCCAAAACAAGTCATGAAAGTGTTTTGTGATGCCTGCACCAGAGAATTGCAGGAGAGGACCTTCTTCGTTGCTGATCACAGTTTCAGGTTTTATGCTTGGAAATCATTGAGGATGTCAACAACAATCTAAACTTTGTGATCAAATTTTTTCAAACCTGCTAACCCCAAGAAACCTCTCAATGCTTTCAGATTCTTAGGAACTGGCCACTCACTCACTGCTCTTAGTTTTGCAGGATCAGAAGTGGTGTCATTATCTCCTCACCAACCACTTCATAATCAGAACTGATCAGCGTAGTCTCAAGTACTTATTGGAGCATACAACAATGGTTACCAAAACTATTGGAGTTTGACTACGAGATTCAATACAAACAGGGAAAAGATAATGTGGCAGATGATGCATTATCACGTGTAGAAGGGTCTGAGATACTTCATATGCCTATGACCGTACTGTAGTGTGATTTGTTCAAGCAGATGCAGGAGGAGTATGAGAAGGACGCAGTGTTGCTGGAGTTGATTAAAGGTTTGATGGAGAATCCAAAGTATAAAAAACATTACTCTTGGGCTGAGGAAATGTTGAGAAGGAAGAATAAGATTGTAGTGCCTAGTAATGTCAATCTCAGGAATTTTATTCAAGAATGGCTACATGGGTCAAGTCAAGGGGGTCACTCTAGACGAGATGTTACATTACAGAGAGTAAAAAGCTTGTTTTATTGGAAGGGGTTAGCTAAATATTTACAAGCTTACCTCAGAAGTTGTTTGGTATGTCAGCATTGCAAGTATGATACTGCAGCAAGTCCTAGGTTGTTACACTCTTTACCAATGCCAGAAGCAGTATGGATAGACATATCGATGGATTTTGTAGAGGGTCTTCCGGTTTCTGGTGGGAAATCAGTGATACTAGTGGTGGTGGATCGCTTGAGTAAGGCTGCACATTTCTTGGCATTGGGACATCCTTATACTGCATCTTTTGTAGCTCAAGTATTTTTGGATAACATGTATAAGCTACATGGGTTTCCTCGCTCCATTGTCAATAACAGAGACACAGTTTTCTGAGTGATTTTTGGCAAGAGCTGTTTAAGCTTCAAGGGTGCTCTTTAAACATGTCTACAGCGTATCACCCCCAGAGTGATAGGCAAACAGAGGTGGTAAATAGGTGTTTAGAGACATACTTGAGATGTATAACCAGTGATTGTCCACACTTGTGGAGTAAATGGCTGCCACTAGCTGAATACTGGTATAACACTAATTACCATACCACAATCAATTCAACTCCTTATGAGATTGTATATGGTCAACCACCACCAGTGCACTTGCCGTATCGTGATGGAGAGTCTAAGGTTCAGGTGGTGGCTAAGTGTTTAGAGGAAAGAGAGAAGATGTTGCAGATATTGAAGTTTCATTTGCTTCATGCTCATCATAGGATGAAACCGTTTGCAGATCAACATAGAAGTGAAAGAAGTTTGAGATTGGGGATTGGGTGTTTTTGAAGTTACAGCTTTATAGGCAACAATCTGTGGTTTCAAGATCGTCTCAGAAGATCTCACCAAAATACTACGGTTCTTATAAGGTGATGGACAAGTATTGAGAAGTAGCGTATAAGCTTGAGCTCTCGGCAACATCTCAGATACATTCCGTCTTTCATGTGTCACAGCTCAAAAAGTTGGTGAGGAATGTGACTACTTCTACTCAGTTACCGTTAGTCGTTTATGAATCATTGGTGAAGACTCCTAAGTATATCATGGAAAGGAAAATGGTTCAATGAAAGGGTAGCTGCAACTATGGTATTTGTCAAATGGGCAAACAAGTTGGAAGAAAAAGTAATATGGGAGTTTTTATTTGACTTTCAATGCAAGTACCCACAGTTTCAGACATAACCTTGTGGTCAATGTTCTTTTGAGAGGAAGGTTGTATTACAGCTATTAAGAGTAGAAGATAATGACATGGAGGGAAGTTACGGACAATAAAAGCTGTTAATAAAATGAGAAAAAAGATGATGCGTGTGAGGGGTGGGCACATTATCCGATACCCGAACTCGTACCCGAACTCGACCCGAAATATCCGAACCGAAATCCAAACCGAAATACTAAAATACCCGAACGTGTATTGAGTTAGGAGAGTTTGGATATCCGAACCCGAATGGATAATACCCGAACCCGAACGGATATCCGAAGATAATCGAACATATGTATATATACCTATTTATTCCTAGTTTATTTTGTCTCATTTTATTAAAACTATTTATATTAATGTGTTATGTAGTTTAATATCAGATAATATACATATAATTGTAAAAAAAATGATTTGTTACTCATTTAAAATTCATGTTAAACTTCTTATTTCATACTTTAAACAAAATTTGCATCCAAAATTCCAAAATAATAACCAAAATAATAATTTTTATTTTCAATAATTTATTTTTAAACTTATTAATCGTCTAACTTATTAAACATTTAAAAACAGTTAAGTTAATAGTTAAACTTTAAATACATGAAACTTAAGTAATTAAGAATTTTAAATTTTTCTTTCAAAATCTAAATATCCGAACCCGACCCGAAATAACCGAACCCGAACTAAAAATATCCGAACCCGACCCGATACGTAAAAATACCCGAACGGGTTCTAAACCCCAATACCGAAATACCCAAAAACCCGAAATACCCGATCCAAACCCGAACGGGTACCGAACGGGTACCCGAACGCACAGTTGGTTGGTCGAACTGAGAATTTGTTACAAAGCAAAACAAAGTATTAAAGCAGAATGTTGCTTTCGTTTTGAGTATTCAGAAATTGTAAAAACTTTACTTAATCTCAATAAAAATTCTCTTAGTTCTTGAGTTTACTGCGTTTGAAGATCCTTCTCAAATCGAGATCTTCCACAGCTAAACTTCGGTTCCACGTTTTCTGAACTTTGAATCGATCATAAAGCTAACATCCGACTAGCTTTATCAGATTCTGAAGGAAAACTCAAATCTAGGGTTTTTTATCGCCCCTTCTCGGCAGCGGTCAATGGCGAGTGTGTACATACCCGTTCAGAACTCAGAAGAAGAAGTTAGGGTTGTTCTTGATCAGTTCCCTCGCGACTCCTCCGATATCCTTGATATCCTCAAAGCCTAACAAGCTCCTCTTGATCTCTTGCTCATCATCGCGGTTAGTTCTTTAACTCTATTTAGGCCTCTCTAGATTTTTATTTCTTCTGAATTTGGATTCATTTTTTTTTTTGTTTTCCTCTGGTGAAGAGAGAGTACTTCAAGCAAGGAATTGATCAGTTTCGTAAAATATTGGAGGAAGGGTCAAGTTTCTATTGGTAAATTCGAGACAAAACACAAATAAAAAGAAGATTATTTTATCTTGGCTACAAAATACTACAACAAAGCGTCCAGGATCAATATGCATGAACCCATCACTTGGGTTGGGAAAGGAAATTAATCACTATCAGATTCTTATTCTTTTTGTGATGGTCGCTGTATACGTTTTATGGTCCACTCATGTTTTTTAGAAGGCAATCTCTTTGTTTTCCATTTATCCCTGAACAATGTCTTCAAGATGATAAGATCCTGAAATGTGATTGTCTGTTTACAGGTCAGCTGTTACTGGCTAAGGGTGAAATAGATCATTTCAGGTATTTACGATCGGGTTTGACAATGCTTCTGATAATATTCCTGCTCTTCTGGGTCAGGTATAATCAATAATTGCTCACAAAAGGATCTCCTTGTGACTATATATGAAAGTGGTAAGCTTTACTCTCTACAAAGTGTGGTTGTATATTGTGTATTGTAGATACGCGTAACTAGTACGTCGCCCTTATGATGGCTCAGGTACATGATTGTTGCTAATGTTTGTGGTTCTTGGTTATCTTTGTTTTAGTACATTGTGAGAGGAGGAAGGTACTTGTTCAAGCATCTTCCTGATGCTTTCAAAGGGATCAAGCAGATTGGTGTCACTGGCTGGGGATCTCAGGTATTTTTTTGTTTATTATCTTCTATTGTCTGTGCTTTCTTTAATCAACATGTTTATCCTTTGTGTAAGGAGCAAAGCTAAAAAAATTTGGGAGTTTGATGTTTTGTTAACAGATATTTATTAACTTCGTTTTTCTCCAATGAGTTTGAAAGTGAAACCACCTAAGACTGTTGTTTATTTTGGATTGTGTAAATGAAAGTCTTTTATTTTAATGCTTCTGGTATATTTGAATTTGAATAGATAAAGCTCATGTTGTTTCTCTTTGATATCTATTTGCAGGGACCTGCCCAAGCTCAAAATTTAAGGGATTCGCTAGTGAAAGCAAAGTCTGACATTGTTGTTAATGTAATCCCAACTTAAGTGTTGGTTTTTTCATACTTTTAGATATTAGGTTATCTCTTTGCTTTTTCCTGATATTTGACCATACTTTGACTTAGTTTCTTTATGTAGATTGGGCTTAGAAAGGGCTCTAAATCTTTTGAGGAGGCACGTGCTGTGGTCTTCACCGAAGAAAGTGGTACTTTGGGTGATATATGGGAAACTATCTCTGGCTGCGATCTTGTGTTGCTTTTGATCTTATATGCTGCTCAGGTATGTACATTTGATTATCTTCTTTAATTTGAAATTTGCTCCTTATGTTCAGGAATTTGATTTTAATGCATCTTGTTTTTTGGCAGGCTGATAACTATGAGAAAATATTCTATCCATGTATGGAGAAAGATATCTGTAGAGAAACCAGATTCATTCGTTACTGATGCGTTGTGTACAACTCCTTGTCTGAAGAAGGCAAAAAGGATATCGAGAGTGCATCCTACTATCCATGTATGGAGAAAGGTCGACTGGTGCAATACGAGAAAAGGGATTTAATTTTGATTATCCAAGGTTAATGAAACTATTGTACCAATGTTAAAACCAGTTTAAGCTTTACGAAAGAGAGTGATCAGTCCATCTCCTTTTGACATGCTTTCTCTCTTTGTATTCCCAAGTTCAATAACAAAAAGATTGTAGTAACCGATATCAAAAATAAGCAAAATATAACTAAGAATTCCCTAAAAAAAGGTGTGAGTTTTCTCCAAATTTTCTGAATCAAAACTAACATATCAGTCCCAAAAATCTCAGTTGTTAAACCAATTTTTAGAAATACTGACTTCATGATGGATTACCATAGTTGTAAACACGGTTAGAAGACTTACCGTAAACAAGGTTAAAAGACGACTTACATTTAAGTTTTCTGGTGAGAAAACTTTCCAAAATACTTAAACGTAAGTCAAATTCACAAAAAGTCAAACATTATATAAATTTAAAACATTTTCACTTGAAACCTTCTAAAATATCTTGTAGTTACATAACATTTTTTGAAAGTTGAAAACATATCTTAATGTTATTTAACAAGTTTACAAAAATTATCGGATCATCTAGAAACTTTAATAAACATGAATGTTGGTAATTTCATAAATATCATGAATTAAGTTATAAATTCCTTCCAGTAGCTTTAATTTTGATTAATATATATGAATTAATAAGAAAATGTTAAAAAAAAATCTTATAGTTTTAGAAAAAATGAAGGTTTATTAAAAAAGTGACGCAGACGACATCCACAAAAGTCTTCTGGTAGACTTCTAAGAAAGTCGTCTATTTAAATCATTTTTGCAATTAAAATTTTACAGAGAAAGATTTCCAGAGAAGTCTTCTCTATAGCACACTTCTTTGAAAATATTCCTTTGTAAATATTGGCTTACTTTTGTTAAAAAAATCTGGACAATACTAAAAAAGACTTACATGTAAGTCCTCTAGGATAAATAGGTTAGTTTTGCATTTGATCGGATTGTGTCAGAAATTTAACTTTCCCTGAAGGACTTACATGTAAGTCATCCAGTAGAAAATTGAAAAATTAATTTTTACTTATAACTAGACGACTTACATGTAATTCATCCGCTAAAAAAATAAGAAATCATTTTTTTAAAAAAGTAGACGACTTACCTATAAGTATTAGATTAGTTTTGCAACTGAAATATAAAACATATATTTAATTTTCTCTAGACGAATTACACAAAAATGTGTTTTCTGCCAGACGATTTATATGCAAGTTGTCCGAGATAAGCGAGGTTTGACTAGAATCTCGAAATAAAATCCTGGACGACTTTCGTGTAAGTCACCAAAAGTTTTTGATATAATTTTGTCCAGCGATCATTATCCACCAAATTTCGTTCACAAAATAGTATCTATTACTTTTCATGTTTAAACTGCCAATCTATACAAAAATGAACTTATTCATCTGGTTGAAGCTCGCACCCCTTGTTGGTGTTTTCTGGATGGAATAATATTGAGACTTTCATTCCTTTCGAAGTGTTTGAGGATAACACTTGAGATTCTTAACACGAACTCTATGCAATATTTTTTTATCGCGACTCTAACATTAATCGCCAAGCTTATGGTTTTGCTTTCAACTTATTTTATTAATTTAGGTTTCGCTAAGATCTTTCTCACCTCCGCAAAGCATTGTTATACCACATAGATAAATTACATTTTTTTGTAACATAGATAAATTACATATATATATATATATACAAACCTTTTGTTGATGTTTCTAGATGATTGAGGCAACCATTGGAGTTGTTTTTTCAAAATATTCTTGAACACGTATAACATAATGAGTTTCTATGTTTCCACCGCTGGGGTTGTTTTTTTTCAAAATACTTGTGAACACGTTTAACATAATGAGTTTCTATGTTTCTAGCTGAAAAAACTTTTTGACATGAGATTGTTATACCTTATTAAAGAAGCAAGTGGATTAATACACTCTTAGGATGCTTCTTTGATTGATAGGATGATAAAACCTTGCAAAAACGAATCAAAGACTCAATTTCACATATCCTTCAAGGCTGTGGATCGAATGGTGACACAAGAGACTACGGAGAGGCTCCTTGATACTCCTAGGCAGTAGATCGGATATTACACACCAATCTAAGACCCTTAAACATTGGATATCACACACCAGCAGACTGGATACTACTCACAACACACTCACAATCTTAACAAGAAGAGAGAAAAGAACACAAAGGTTTTGATAAAAAAATTGAATAATTCTTATTAGGGTACCCGCAAGGATTATATGGAAGAGATCCTTGTACAAGCACAAAGGACTCAGGAACGCAAAGAGACCAAAAGCACACGCTCCACTTGTAGTTCGAAAACGAAACATAAAAGCATAGTCTAAAATATAACATAAGGTAGGGTCTTCATGAGTCTTGGACCAAGATAGCACTTTGGAGATGTGTTAGACAAGCTGTGGCCTCGTTAAAAACCTTCCTTCGTAAAACCACTTGGGAAAAAATCAAGAGAAAGGAAAATAGCACCTACACAGTGCCTTGCCTAAATACTAACTCAGCTTGATGTAGAGATAGCTTGAATGGTGGTTAAGGTATCTCGAACCATCAAACCTTGTCCAAGACTTTTTTCTTGTTGCAATGTGGTGATAAATAAACCTCCAATGATCTCCTTAATTTTCTTGGCTCTAGCTCGGGTCATGGGACCTTATGGAATGGTGAAGTCTTCATCATCAAGTTTCTGGTCCATGGTATCATCAGGTTGATCTCTTTTGGTCGCCTTGTTGGATTAAGCTTGAAACAAAAGATAGCTTGAGATCCAGTCTAAGACCTAATCCTATTGTGTTTGAGATTTGTAATATACTTAAGAGTTAGCTAAGTTATATTATCTCTATGTAAAAGAATGTCGAGGTGTGATATTAGGTGTGAGATTAAGACATTGTGAGTTTAAGTTTTTGAGAGAGTTTTCTTAAGCATTAATGAAGTGTGTTTCTTTATACAATCTTTGAGTTCAAATTTCGTATCAGAGTGATAAGAAGAAAAGATGAGTGGAGAGATTCTTGCGGCTGCAACAGCGAAACTTAAGGAAGGAGGAACCTCCTCTTCTATAAAGTGTCTGATGCTCACTGTGACAAACTACACGGTATGGGAAATACTGATAAAAATCACACTTAAGGTACACAAAGTCTGGGAGGCAATCAAAGAAGGAGAAACCAAAAGTAAAAATAATGATATGGCAATAACTCTATTGGTACAATCCACTAGAGGTTTTAACTCTACAAGTTGGCGAATTCGATACGGCTAAGAAGATGTGGGAAGCAATTAGAACTAGGCATGTTGGAGCTGAAAGAGTTAAGGAGGCACGGTTGCAAACGTTGATGAGTGATTTTGATCTTCTAAAGAAGAAAGAAACATAGTCAATTGATGACTTTGGAGGAAAGCTATCCGAGATTGCATCAAAATCTGCATCCCTAGGAGTTAGCATAGAGGAACCAAAACTTGTCAAGAAGTTCCTAACTAGTCTACCATGGAAAAAATATATTCACATTGTAGCTTCTCTTGAGCAAGTATTAGACCTAAATAATACTAGCTTTGAAGATATCATGGGTCGTTTGAAAGCTTATAAAGAGAAAATCCGTGAGGAAGAAGAACCACAAGAAGAACAAAACAAGCTATTGTATGCAAACTCCAGGTCACAAACTACGCAACCTAACCGTGATTACAGCAGAAATAATCGAGAGTACAACAAATACTACTGTGGCAGAGGTAGAGGAGGAAGATCGTTCTACCACGGTTGTGGACGAGGACGGTAAAATGGAGACAAAGATGCTTCAAAAGTCACATGTTGGCATTGCGATAAGGTAGGGCCCTATGTCACTGATTGTTTAGACCGTCTCCTTAAATTCCAGGAAGCTCAAGAGAACGATAACAGCGATACTCAAGATGCAGATGAATTGATGATTCACGAAGTTGTCTACCTGAATGAGAAGAACTGCGTACCTGAGAAGTATGAAACAAATATGGATGCAGAAGACATATGGTACTTAGACAATGGAGCCAATAACCATATGGCAGGAGATCAAAAGTACTTCTCAAAACTAGATAAACAGATCACATGAAAGGTGAGATTCGCTGACGAATCGAGGATAGATATTAAAGGAAAATGTACGATCTCTTTCACTGACATGAACGGATAAGGAAGAAAGATGAATGATGTGTATTTCATTCCTGATCTGAGGAGCAAGATAATTAGTCTTGGTCAAGCAACAGAATCACGATGTGATATTAGACTAAAAGGTAAACATCTCATGATGCATGACCAACATGGAAGGCTCCTTGTTAAAGCTAACATGTTGGAGAATTGTCTTTACAAAGTTTGCATGGGAATAAGAGACACAACACAGCTGTGTTTAAGTGAGATCAGTGAATCTAATAGGTGGCATGCGAGACTTGGCCACGTCAACACGGCAACAATGAAGATGATGATACAAAAGGAGCTGGTTGTCGGAGTTCTTGGTGTGAATGTCACGAAAGAATTGTGTTCTTCATGCCTACTTGGGAAACAAGCAAGAAAGACGTTTCCACAAGCAACAATGTACAGAGCAACATGGCCACTTGAACTCCTACACCAAGACCTCTGTGGTTCTATTACACCAAGTACATTGGTTGGAAACAAGTATGTATGTGATCATCGATAATCATTCAAGATACATGTGGATGATTCTCCTCAAAAAGAAAAGTGAAGCATTTGACAAGTTTAAGAAGGCAAATGAACTGATAGAACAAGAAATTGGAGAGAATATAGGGACTTTCAGAACAAATCGAGGAGGTGAATTTGTTTCACACAAGTTGAATTCATGGTGTGAAGAGAAAGGCATCAAAAGACACCTCACTGCTCCGTACACACCACAACAAAACTGTGTGGTGGAGAGACGAAACATGACATTAATGGAGATGTCTAGGAGCATCTTGAAACATATGCACATGCCAAACTACCTATGGGGTGAGTAAGTTCGACATTCAACCTATCTTATAAACATGATTGCAACAAGGTCTTCGAATGATCAAACACCATATGAATTATTAAAGGGAAGAAAGCCAAACATTAGCCACCAACGTATTTTTGGCTGTCTTGGATACACAAAGGTCGAGAAAGCACAGCTAAAGAAACTGGATGACAGATCTAGCATGCTCGTACACCTTGGGACCGAGCCTGGCTCGAAG